TGCGAAGGGGGCTGCCTTCCCACGAGCTGTGCAGCCCGCTCATGCCTGCTTCTCGGTGTGCTCCTAAAAAGAACAAAAGGGAGCGAGCATCAATGAAATTTATTGTTGGAAAATCTTAATTAGATTTTAAGCCCCAAAGGGAGAAAAGTGAGGTATTATCTGACACAGCTAATGAGTGTTAAGGGTCCATTGTTATATTTCTTGTTTACCTTTCTGTGCGGGCTGATACAGCCTGGATCCTCGCCTGTACTGCCATAATTAGGATATCTCATCTCTCGCTGATAGGGTCGGGGATGCTCTTTAAGGCACAATGCTGTCTCATCCCTCCCCAGCAGGATGAACGGGATCGGGAAAGCAACTTCTGGCATCCCAGCACTGGTGCCTGTCATACTGACCCTGTGAACTGGGGACTGCCCTCCAGAGTTGGGGGTGTACCCGATAGCCCCCAAGATGATGGGCACCTCCAACAGCCTTGGTGATCTCTCTGAGGAGCCCTGAGGTGACTTGCCTTGGGGGCTAAATCCTCCCCAGCACCTCTTTCTGTGCAGCACAGGTCCTCCACAAGGCCCTTCATACTCACCAAAGAAGGGGAAAGACACCCGTGGGTACCCCATCCTACCCCTCACTCCATAATGCCAGAATCTCTGAAGCTTGGACTTCAGGAAGACATTCAGGATTGGGACTTCCTGTGGACTGGATAGTCTCCTTTTAGGTGGAAGATATATCAGGGTGGTGTTTTTATGTTACAAGAGGTACCCTCCTAGGCTTCCTTTGTGGCCTAGGAGGCTACAACTCATCCCTTGGACCCCCAGATGACATGGCACTTTGTTGAAAGCCACCTTTATTCTGAAGCTTCCTTGATCTTCCTTGAGGTTAGTGAGGCTCTTTAGCCATGGAGGTTTAAGATGTTTCTGCTCCAGCTGTGACTAGAACCCTGGAGCGGCTTGGGCAGGTGGAAAACTACCTCATTCCTCGCATGCCCATGCACAGCCCAAAGGGCATAGCTGCATTAAACCACCTGCAGAGGAAGGTTAGCACTGCCTATATATGAATATTCATATATATTATGAATTATTCCCAGGATATATGGTTTAGTTAAAGACTTGTCATATGCAGGTAAACCACTGCTGGAGGGACCACCAGCTCCAGCCCTGGCCCTGAGCAATGTAGCCTGGGGTTTGGGTCCTGGCATCGGGCACCTTGACACCGAGCAGTGTGATTTGGACCTCCAGAAGCAAGAGGGGAACCTGCTGCACCGTTGTGGTCTTTTGGGCTGGGGAAGGAGCACCGCCACTCAGGTGAGAGATGGGAGCACGGTGTGTTTGGGGTGGCTGTGTGTGGGCAAGGGGGCTGTAAAGTTTTTGGTCTCAATTCAAGCCACTGAAAGCCAGAAGTAAAATGCCATCCATTGTTGGTTTGTACACCCGTAGTAGCCAAACAAACATCCCTGGAGCCTGTCCTTATCGCTTTATTACACCTGCTAGAGTGAATAGATTAAAGAGGACGGGGGAGGGGGGAGAAAGCAGAAGAATCCAGCAGAAAAACTGGGTTTTGGGATTGTTAATTATTCTCTGGGGTCTCTAATCTTTAACTGGCAAACAGCATCACTAACTGTCTTAAAGCCCCTCCTGGAACATCCTGATAATAAGCCATCTGCATGAAGGCACCCTGTTATCTGCCCTCCTCCAGCCGCCTGTGACATGGCTGGAGTGGGAGATAATGAATGTGTGGTGTGTAATAATGACACGTCACTCATGATTATCGGCCTGATACCCAACCTTTTAGCTCCATTGTTTGTGCTTCAAAAAAGAAGAAAAAAAAAAAAAAAAAGGAGGGAAAGAAGAAAAAGAGGGATTTTTGGTGCTATGGGCTCTCCCGGGGTCCCCGAAGTGTCTCCCTGCCAAAGGGGCTGGCTCTTGTAGCAGAGGGTTTGGTGGTACCCTGGAAGGACTCGCCTGCGGATTGGTGGCTGCTGTAGCCATGGTGATGGAGGGAGAGAGCCAAGACAGCGTTGAAATGTCACTGCCTTGCAGGGAGACATTTGGGGCAAATGCTCAGGCGATTAGATCTGTGTCACTGGGTGCTGCCCAGCTCATCGTGCTACTCTTTGCTGCTCTCAAAGTCGTTTAGTGGTGGCTTGGCAGAGGAGGTTATCTTGAACATGCTGCTGTTCAGAACCTGCCAGCGTTTGAAGGCAGCAGGAGGTGTTTGGGTTGCCCGGCTTGACCTGGACAAGCTGAAGAGCAGAAGAATTTTCTCCTGGTTGCTGCTGCAAAACAGCTCCATAAGGCATCAGTGCTGCAAGATCTTCCCCCAAAAGCTTTGGCCCTTCAAACTGCAAACCTGGGTGAGGTGTGGGTCTTAACAGGGAGAGACTTTAAAGCGTTTGGCTCAGGTTACCTCAATTATTGTCAGAACTGCCTGGAATAATGATCCTTATTTTACAGTAAAAATGGCAGTAATTTTTCCTCTCTTTCTTGAGCAGATCTCCCAGCGTGGTTTCCTCAGGGAATGTCTCTGATGGAACTGTTTGGGCTTTGGCCGTTTGTAACAATCAGGAAGACTCTTGGAAACCAGACAAGCAGCCTCAGCCATGACAGTGAATAGGGTGCTGGCCTCAAAACAGGGCTGGGAGGCCAGGCAGGGCATCGCACAGACACGGGGATGGGCAGCAGCTGTGGGTCCTCATCAGTTCTAACTTTTCCTGCTCTGGCCTTGTCTTCCCATGCCCAAACCAGAAGATACTGTAGGGACTTCTTCAAGTGCAGCCTAGTTTCCTCTGCAACCCACTGCCAAGGAGACAGGACTGGCTCTTTGCAGCTAAGCACTCACTAATCTCAGTGCTTGGACCATAAGCCAGAGAGGACATGAGCAGAGCTGCAAGGTGGCTTGCTTCCCGGCTGGGTGGCTGAAATGTCTGATAAAGAGGGCCAGTAATGAAAGACTGTATCAAACTGCTGCTCTCCAATGGCCTCTCTGTGCTGGAGCTGGGGTGAAGGAGAGCTGGAGTCTGGACTTCGAGACCAGCCTGAGGCCATCAGCAGTGCAAGGGTGGTGGCATCAGCACCTACACAACCTGCATCCAGTCTCTTCCTTGGGGGTGAGAAGAGGGGGGTCAAGGGAAGAAGAACTTGGTTTCCAGCTGCCTTGCAAAGTAAGTCCAAGCTGTCCCTTGCTAGTGATTTACAGCATCCCTGTCCTGTGAGGTCTCAAGACAGCCAAAACATAGGGCTGGATCCAGCCCAAGAGGAATATTGTTTCTCAAACAGAGGATGCAGCAGGTGGCAGGCACAGGGAGCAGGGGCTGCAGGGGTTTACTCAGACATGGAGATGTTCGTGGTTGGCTGCCCTGGTCTGGCCATCAGCAGAGGTGAGCCACCCAGACAGAGGGACATGGTTTGGCTGTGTCAGTGCCTGCAGCGACACTGGTGATGCTATTGCTATGGGTGACAGCTGGACAAACAGCCATGTTTCTCATCATTCGATGGTGGGCAAGCATCCCTCCATGCCTCGGTTTCCTTGGTGCCTGCTGAGTGCCTGTCACAAACCACGACAGCTTCTCACAGTGCCCAAGCACTTGCAGTGACAAGTTTTCCCTGTGCTGAAAACTGATGTGATGAAAACCATCGTGCCAGGGACTCCTGCCCTGCATGGCTGAGGGTGATGTGTAATGGTATGGGGGGTGTGATGTCCTCATCATATGGGGATGACGATGGGGATGGGGCTCATCAGCTGCCCTGGTGAGCCTTGCCATGCTCCTTGTCAAGCCCAGGCAGGTGGCTTTGCCAGGGATCTGTGAGGAATTTGGGTTTTTCTGGGTCACTGCCACCTAGTGATCCACTTCCCACCCTGGACCTGCAGCTCACCCAGATACTCCCCTTTGGCCTGGGAACCCACCTAGGGCTGGTGCTAGGGCAAGGGTCTGCAGTGGGTCCCTGCACCCTCAAAACAAGCCTGACACCAGGGCCAGTGCCCACCCTCACACCTTGGGCAGCTTACTCATGTAGTGAGTGGATAGTTCTCAGCCTCTGCAGAAAAGGGCTTGAGACAGACTCATGGTCCCTCTTGGGACTTTGGGGTTTTTTTGTAAGCTGTTTTTGTTCTTGCCACCAGCATTTGCTTTGTTTGACCCCAAATGATTCCAGTTGTTTCTGTACCACAGTAGCTGTCGGAGGTGGAAGTGAGGGCTTGGTAACTCATGGCACGGGAGAGATGCAAACAGGCTCCTCAGGCTCCACGGTGGCAAACTGACTGAAACAGCCCTTGAGCCCTGGGAAAACACTCACAGGGCTGCACCCTTGGTCCCAGCCTTGTCTCTGCACTGCTGGGACTCATCCTGTACCCCCTGGCCCCCAAATGCAAAGGAAACCAAAGCCATGATCAGGGAGTATCTCCACAAGGCTTTATTCTCATTTCAGAGAGAAGAGCAGGACAAGGCTGCTTTGTTTTGAGGGCACTCTTCATAACGGCTGGCACAGCCCAGCCCAGGGACAGATTAGGGGGAATAATTTGGAGGGTGGTGCATGGGGATGCAGTGTGGCTGCAGCACACCCAGGCTGGAGGCAGAGGGGAGGGATGTCATGCTCAGGCAGCGTCCAGGCTTTAGACACCTCTGCAGACCACACCAGTGTTGCTCACCTCCGTGTCCAAACAGGCAAGAGGCAATGCTGCAAATACACAGGCAGGTGACAGAAGTCCCACCAGGCAGTGTGCAGGGGCAGGTCGGAGGTGAGAAGATGAGTAGGACACGGAGGATGTCCGCAGGGTTGAAGGCTGAGCCACAACTGTGCAGTGCTGTTCCCTGTGCAAGGATGGGACCTGGACCTGCTGGGTTTGGTGTGTGTGAGGGAGCTCAACAGGCCCCCTAGGCTGGAAGCAGGGTTAATGTGGGAGAGGTCTGAGGTGGCCAGGGTGGGTATGCTTGGTGTCACCTTCTTAAACTTCTGGGTGGAGTGTGGTTCTCAGGACTTTCATGCCCCACACCGTGGTACCCCACAGGGTCAGCGAATCTTCTTCAAATGCAGGTGGATCCCATTGCTGGACCTGAGGATTATCTGTGGTATCAGTATGGGAGGCTTGGATGGGTTGGGGCAGAGCTCGAAGCGGAGCAGGGTCAGTGCCAGCGCCACCTTTATCTCGTTCATGGCAAACTGCTGCCCGATGCAGTTCCTGAGGAGAAGATAACAAATGCTCCCACTGCAGCCTTCATCCCCAACCGGCCCTGAGCTGGGCTCACACTGTGTGCGAGCTGGGAGACCACCAGCTACAGTGACAATGATGCCACATCTTATCTAGGAATCCCCTGATGCTGCATCACAATGCACCCAGCTCTGCAGTGGGGTATTGCTCTTTTTTTATTGATAGGCATTGCAAAAAGATATGAGGTTGAGACAGGTGGGGCTTACTATGCTAGAAAGTGCTCCATGGATCCAGCTAAAACCCCAGACATCTCCAAAAGGTTATTTTTTGCTCTGTACAGAGTATCTCCTCTTGCAAGTTATGAGACTTCTGCATTCTGCATCTGTCCACTAATATAGCATGCAAACCAAAGAGACTCGGCCCCAGCTTGGCTTTGAGGTACACTAGGTATTCACCCCTAAACGTGGGAGCCTGGGCTCCCACTGCAGGCAACAGAAAAAGTAAACAGCTCCACAAATCCACCAAAAATGCGTGTGAAACCCCATAGTGACCACAGAGCTTGGGGTGTGGCAAATGCTCTGGAGCTGATGGAGCATGGTGGAGATCCTGTAGCAGAAAGCCTGCTTAGGTTGGCCAAGCCAGATCGATTTGCGGACACTGGGGTAGGATGAACTTCAGAACCTCATCTCTGAGACAGGTCTCCTATGCAAGGCAAGCCTACAAGGAAGGAGAGGTATGAAGGATGTCCCACCTGGATCCAGCAGAGAAAGGCAGGAAAGCGTGGGAGTGTCTCTGTGCTGAGTTCTCTGGAGAAAACCTCTGGGGATTATAAACCTGTGGGGAGTAATTTGGTCAATGTTTGGTCTGATATGAACACCATCAGTTTCTTCCCCAGCCCCCAAGGTAGGGCTGAATGTGATCTCTGCTGTTCCTGGGGGAGCTTCAGCTGATAGGCATCTCTCTACAAAGCCAGTGGGTGAATGAGAAGAGGGTGCTGGTGGCTGTGTGGATCTTTCCCTTAGAGATATCTAGATCACGCACTACAGTGCCCAAGATGCCTGCGGGTGTTTTCCATGGCAGCAATGATCAAGCCAGACTCTCTCATGTCCAGAGATGCCTGATCCTGGCCCTCCAGACAGCCACTGGAGAGAGGCAGCTGCACACTCTCCTTCAGGTTTCCCAGCTATTTATTTCCTTGAAGCCTTTAAGATACCAGCTTCAATTCACATACTGCCTGAAGGGCTTAAGACTTCTCATACCATGCTGGCACCTAAGGCTCTCCAGGGCAGCTGAAAGCACTCTGAGGATCTCTGTGTCACTGTGCATGAAGATAGACTATCCAACACTTTCCAGCTCTTTGTCAGGTTCAAAGCCTTTGAGGTGCTTGGTAATATCATTGAACTTTACATTTAGATATGGACTGTGGGAATAAGAGGGGTAAAAAGACATGACAGAGAGAGAGGCACAGGCTGCCTTGTTCAAGGGGAGTGGATGTCTGGGCTCAGAAATCATCTTCCCCTTCCTGTTATAAAGATGAAATACCTCAGGGTCCTCCCACACATCCCGGTTCCTGTGAATAGCAAATATGTTCACTGCAGCCTGGCAGCCTGTAAAAGGAAAGTGAAAAAAAGCTCGTGACACCTCAGAATGAAGCCCCGGGAGAAGTGTTTGTGGGATATTGCCCATCCCTCAGCTCTTCAGGGGCTGTTGCAGGAGATTTGGCATGGACAGCACCCAGCCTGTCCAGATAGGGCACCTCCTCAAACCCTCACAAGGAAGAAACAATAGCCTCAGAGCTGGGCCCCATTCTGGTATCAGTGGATGAACTTTCAGTCTTGGCCAGGCTCAGCACTCTGCAAGTCCTCTTTGAGCTCTGTGAACACTCCAGTGCCCTGGAGCATGTTCTTGGCCTCTCTCCAGCCACCCCTCTGGGGGAGCTGTGGTGATGACCTGTAGTTAGCCCTGTACAGTCCTTTGGAGGGAGAAGAGAGACCAAAGCCACACCAGCCACTCGGCACAGCAGCTCCAGCAAGGGTGCCCCACTTATCACAGACAGCAGTATGCAGGATGAACAAACTCAACAGACCTGCTGGCAAGGTGCGTCCATCGAAAAATGTGACGGATTTGGAGAGGTGTCGGGACACGGAAGGAACCGGTGGGAACAGGCGCAAGCTCTCTTTGATGCACATTGTGGTGTAAGTCATCTTCCCAAGGTCCTCCCTGAAAGCAAACCGTGGAGTCAGGCTGTGTTTCAGTGGCAGCAATGAGAACACCACCAATGGATGGGTGGCACCACCGTGTCTCCTGTCTCCTGTTGAGGTTTCTCCTTCTCCTAGTCCTCTCTTTGCTGCCAGCATTGCTATGTGAAAAGAAGAATGCTGCAGTGCAGATGCAGTACAAGGTGGATGAAGTTTCTTTCCCAGGATGAGTGAAAAGAGGTTTGAAAGGGGGTTGTAGTGAGGTGGGGGCCAGTTTGTTCTCCCAAGTAACAAGCAATAGGACAAGAGGAAACAGCCTCAAATTGCACCAGAGGAGGTTAGGAAAAATATTAGGACATTAGGAAATATTTCTTCACAGAAAAGGTTGTAAAGGCCTGCAACAGGTTGCCCAGGGAAGTGATGGAGTCCCCATCCCTGGAGGCATTTAAAAGGCATGGAGACGTGGTACCAAGGGACATGGTTTAGTGGTGCCCTGACAGTGCTGGTTTAACAGATGGACTTGACAATCTTGAAGGTCTTTTCCAACCAAAACCGTTCTATGATTCTATGAAAAGAGCTCAAAGTAAAGGAATAAGAAGCTCTGTCTCACCACTCAACAGTATCTCGGTCTCCCAAGATCCCTTGGATCTCCTCCCTGCACTGTTGCTGGTACTCTGGATGCAATGACAGGCAATAGAAGAGCCAGGAGATCCCACTGGCTGTGGTATCGTGACCCGCAAACATGAAAGTGTCCACCTCAGCACGGAGGTCCTCATCAGACAGTCCAGCTCCATTTGCATCCTAACAAAGTGAAGAGTTCATCATTATCAAGCACATGTTAATTGGACTCACTCCTTTGGCTATAAAAATAAACCCAGATGCTGACGAAAAAGGGCCCAGTTTTGTGTCTCTTGTATCTCCCTGTGTGGATGTAAACCTGTAGAAAATACGTTCAGTACATGTTAGAACAGTCAAACCCACTGACTGTTGACTCTCTGGCCAACAGAGCCACAGACTTGAGATTTAGTTGCATACCAGGTCCCACCCTAACAGAAGGACACTCTGATCCCCTACCAAGGGTCCCTGTTTTGGTTTTCAGTAGTTTGGTTTGAACAACTTTTGTTTCAGGTTGAGACACAAATGAAAGCAGTGGCTCCAGAAAGACAGAATGAGCACAGAGTGTGTCTCCTTTCTGAACACCAAATGGTAGCTTCTCTCTAGAGTATCTGAATATATCTGTGAAAGTAAAACTTCAGAAGGAAAGAAACAAAATCTCATGAGAGGACTACAGACAAGGTGGTCCCCTTGTAATCTTTCTAAAGCTCTCATTCTTCTCTGGTTTCTGACAGTTTGCTTTTTAAAAATTCTTAATATGCTTGATTAAAATGATGATGGAAGTCTGTCTGAGCTATTTATGTTCTGTTACTGCATCTCACAAGTTTGTATTTCCTTCCCTTTCAATCCATCTTTCCCCGAGCTAGGAAATCTGGAATGGGGAAGCCGTTGCCAGCAGCTCCAGCCAGGAGTGGTGGGATCCTTGCTGATGCATCTTTGGTGACATGCAGGTGTGGTCTTTGGCGTTTGATACAGTTATTTCAAACATTCACCTTGGTACAAAGAAGAATGTCCAGAAAATCCAAGTGTCTCTTCTTCTGGATCTTGTCAAGTTCCTTCTCACTGGAGAGCAACGTCTTCCTGTCTTTTATTACCTTATCTGCATGAGAGAATGATCAGTTAGATGCGTCCTGCACCTTCAGAGACTTCATGGACCTGTCTGCTTGGTCAGCAGATTGGACTCCATTTAACGTGTAACCCTCTGTCCAGCCCATGCTGCAACCCCTCTCTGAGATTCTCTAGCCACAAGTAGGGCAGAGGTTCGGCTGGGAGACAGGTCTGGGGAGAAAGAAATACCTGTGTGGGCATGGGCCAGCTTGCAGGCATCCCGAAACTCACGGCCTTTGTGTGTCAAGTCATAGAAGACATCCTTGTAAGAAAAAGTCTGGACTCTATTGCTTATAAGGTAGCTCAGGTCATAAACAGCTCTGATATAATAGTCTGAGTTGCTGTAAGGAGACCAAGATTAAAGCTGGTGTTAGCAACATGAGTGAGGAAGCACGAGTGCTTGCTTTCCCCGAATTTGAAGGTTCAGGCACTGACCTCTGAGTCTGACAGTTGGTATTATAACTGAAGGCACATTTCATGATGCTGTCTAGTGTCATCAAGCTGACATCTTGAAAGAGCTCCACGGACTTCCTCTCTGTGTTGTCCTTTTCCCATTTATCCTAGTGGTGGAGACAGGGGTAAGGAGGGACAAACTACCATCTACAACCAGGTCATATTTTCCTGTCCCTCTTCCCAGATCCACACTGCTACTTACTTTCTTTTCTGCAAGCAGAGGTCCTAGTTCACTATATATTCCGAGAATCCAATCAAACTCTTCTATGCATTTCTTTTTCCAGGTTCACTATTACTGGGCTAGGAAAGGTTACCCTAGCAGTGGCTGTTTTTATTGGCAAGCAGATGACAGAGAGAATAAGTGGAAAGGCCAGAGGAAGGGGAGCAGAGAAATTTCAGAACTTCAAAACTACCCAAAAAGTTCAATGGAACTCATGAACCATCTAAGTAAAACTTCTTTCCCTCAGTCATTCTCAGACCTGATTATTTTTGGTAGTGCACAGCTGAAAAGTAAAAGTAGCAGGAGCAGTGATTCTTACCAGCATCACTTTGACTGAGTCTGATATCAGGGCCACGTAAGACTTCAGCACATCGTAATGAAAGGCTGGGGTGAGCAGCTTCCGGTGCTGGAACCATTTCCTTCCACTCAAGAGCAACAGCCCCTGCCCTGGAGACACAAATAGCAAAGGCACAAGCAGCTCCTCTAGACCCCGATCTCAGCTCTGACAGCCTTACTACTGCTTTTGGCCAAGCACAGGCTAACGTGCAGGGTCTGCGAGGAGGAAGGCTTGGTGGTAGAGCCATTCACAGCAGTGGTCTTAGGATGCAGGACAAGCATGCCCACGTGTCCTTCAATACCGCCAGCTGTGCACACCTTATCTACCCTGAAACCAAACCCATGATGGCAGAGGCTCAGGACTTGCTCTTTCAGATAGAGTTTTGTGTCCTAAATCAAATATTTGGGTGCTTTTTGCAGCGCCTACTGTTAGTTGTTAGCAGGACCCTGGAGGGCTACCTCAAAGCTGCATGCAAGCCATGAACCTTCCTGTCCTTGATGTCCCTAGTTATCCATGGTAGCATTCTGTCCCTGAGCAAACTGAAGGTTGCCTTGTAAAGGTCAGGGTGTGTTCTCCAAGACAAAGCCACCTGATGTGCTCCATAACTAGGGGGGCATCACTGGTGCTAATGCTCACCTCCAAACAAACCCTCTCATTTGCAAGCTCTGGTTTTAGAATGGAAGAAAGCAAAATAGAAGAAGGCAAAAGAAACTGCTGAAATGTGCAATGTGGTTGGAAGGCATGAAGGAAGAGACTGACTTACCAACCCAGGGAGCCACGAATTTGTAGGGTATGTTGGGCTTACGATCTGTAAAACAAAATAGATACCAGACAGCACAAATGGCTAATGAATTCAACACAGCAAAAAAGAAAATGCAGGATAAATTAACTTTAGAGCTTGTCCTCTAAATTGCAATGTAGACCTAGTCTCATTTCAATGTGTAAAATACTCTGACATTAGAGGTGGAGTTTAAATGTGGTTTTCTACAAATATGACCTTAACGCACTTGAGAAAACTGGAGAAAGGTGTAACGAAAATTGTGTGTGGAGAAGAAATGTCCATGTCAAGTCTCACATTTGAGAACAATGAATGGGAACTACCTGAGATGCCCATGTATATTCTACTCACAGGTATCGTGCTCTACAGAAAGGAGCAAAGGAGAAGACATGAGAAGTTTTCTGAGAGTCATTGCCATGCCAGCTCACCCACGTTACTGGGTTTACTAGGAAACACAGATATTGTGGTGGTGAATGCCATAGAAGACAGTAAGACCAATGCCAATGGCAGTAGTGGGCTGGGAGGAACAGGCACATGGTCACTGTTTTGCATGAGAATACCAACAGCTCCGTGAAATCCAGGGGAGGGCTGGGAGTTTGTGAAGGGGAGCAAAGAAGGAATTGCAATAGCTGTGACTCCAGACAAGTTTCTCATTATTTTCTTAGCAGGGAAGTGTTGAGGACATGACTTCCCAAAACCAGATGTAGACACTTACCTGTATGGCCAAGTATGGTTTTGGCGTATTCAGGATGGTGGACTACTAGAGAAGGCAGGACTGGTCCAAACCATCTGGGAAAGGCATAGGGGTATTCTTCTCCCCACGACACAAACTGATTTAACATTTTATCAGCACTTATCTGCAATGACAGTTAAGCAGGGACTGAGAAAAAGAGGGATGTGCCAGTGCAAGCAGAGGCTAAACTTTCCCGCTCGTGTACAGCATACACAAGGCGTTCTTTCCTGGGAAATGAGGAGAGAGTGGCAGACTTGCCACAGTGAGGCTTTCAAAGCTGCAGGTGGATTCTTCTGGGTGCAGCAAAGGGACCATGCACAGGTGGCAAAGCTGTCTTAGCAGTGGGTATAAGAGGAGAGACTCTTGTTGGTAGAAGGCTGAAGACAGAAGAGAGACATTTTATAGTTGCTCTTATTTAAGTAACTTCCAGAAAGACCCAGAAATCACCTAATTCTGTGTTTAAGCACATCATCCCAAACAACATAACCTAGTTTTTTACCAAATCTTTACCAAAATGATCCCCATTTCATATCCAGGCACCCTTTTGGCACTGCCTCTGCAAAGAGGTCCTCTCCTGTAGGAGGAAACACGAGCAGGGGACATGCACACCCCACCCAGTGCCCTTTCATATCCTGACTGATATCTTCTACAGTTTTGAGACAAATCCAACCAGACTGAGCCCAGGTTCCTACTTACCAGGTGATTGTGGCCATAGAGCCAATGTTTCGGGGGACCAGGGAATGCCTCCATAGCTTTGATGACTTTCTTCCTCTCCCAGTAGAATTGGGCTACCTTCAGCAGCACAAAGATGACACCAAGCACCACAGATAGTTGTAAAACAACAACAGAAGGTCTGACAAGGTTGTCCAGCAGACACGCCATGCTGACCCTGTGTCCGAGATGCCGGACACTGTCTTCCCCTGCCTGCTCCTCTTCTGCTCTTCCCACGCCTGTGCCTGATAGGCTGCTAGGGGCAGGTAAAAATCCTCTCTTTCCTGCTCCGCTGAAGCTGAGCCTGGTGAAGCACTGCTGGCAGCAATTTATAGCAGCAGGAACATCATGGCCCATGAAGCAATGCGTCAGCTTGGCTGGCAACCTGCTGCTCTCACTCTCCCTTTGACCTAGTTCTAGCAACCTGTGGATGGAGGTGGCTTGTTAACAAATAACCTATATGTATTTGCTACTTTCTTTGAAGTCTCATACCCCCAGCAGCAAGTGAAAGCACTCACAGTCATCCATGCCCAGGTGGATGAAGCCATAGGAGCCATTTGTCCTCAGCCAAATTCAGGTCTGGAAGCCATTCATCCACCCGCATGCAGTGAGGAATAAATGGGCCACCTCTGCTCAATACATTGGCTGGCTGGATCTAGCTGCCTCCAGCTGTAAAAGCTCCGAGTGACTGCAACATCACACACTATTACAGAATCAAGAGAATGAACACAACCCAATCAGCACACAAGGGACTGTGACCATGTTCTCCAAGTGGTCCTACCATAGACATGCGTGTTGTACTTCTAAATTGTTGTAACCCAGGATTTGAGTTGCACGTTATGAGAGTGACTATAGCAAGAACATCTTGCTGCTAGCCAGGCTCTGTATGGATGGCTAACCAGCTCTGACTGTGGCTCCTTCTCTAGGGGAGGGGTACATTGCACAGTTAAATCCTATAAGCTGGCCCAAAGGGACCAGGGCTGGAGACTTTAGTAGACACACCTTTAGATGTTGTAATCAATGATTTGAGTTGCATTTATAGGAATTACCATAGCAAGGAGCACACAAAACAGTGGAGCACAACTCTTACAAACAGGAGCGCAAACGGAGCGGTGACCTGACTGGAGCTGGTTTTGGTGCCAAATAACTCTATGCAACACATCATCTCTCCTGCCCATAATGCATGGAGACCAAAGTCATGGACCAAATCAACTCAGTGGACACTTTGTGGACACGTGAACATTCTGTGGGTATTTTATGGGCATTTTACAGGGGTGGTCCATAGACTAAGGGAATGATACCTGTGTATTTTATCAGAGGATGGGAAGGGAGGTGATGGTTAATGAGCTTGTATTGGATAATGGGGTACCTTACCATGATGTAAATGGTATGGAATAAGAGTGTGCTGATTTGGGCTGGAATAGAGTTAATTTTCTTCATAGTAGCTGATATGGGGCTGTGTTTTAGATCGGTGCCGAGGACAGCACTGATGACACAGGGATGTTTTTGTTAATGATGAATGGCACCTAGACAGAGTCAAGGCCTTTACTGCTTCTCCCACCACTCCACCAGCAAGCAGTCCGAGGTGGCACAAGGAACTGGGAGGGGACACAGCCAGGACAGCTGACCCAAACCAACCAAAGTGGTGTTCCACATGGCATCATGCTCAGCATATAAAGCTGGGGGAAGAAGCAGCAGGGGAGGCACCTTCAGAGTGATGGTGTTTTACTCCCCAAGTACCTGTTACACGTGATGGAGCCCAGCTTTCCTGGAGATGGCTGAACACCTGCCTGCTGGTGAGAAGGGTCAAATGAATTCCTTGTTTTTCTTTGCTTATGTGCACAGCTTTTGCTTTAACTATTAAACTGTCTTTATCTCAATACACAACTTTTCTGACTTTTACCCTTCCAGTTCTCTCCCCCATCCCACTGGGGGCAAGTTAGAAGGTGGCTGGATGGAGTTTAGTTGCTGGCCAGGGTTAAACCACAACAGCAAGTCAGAAAGAAGACAAAACTGTTGCCCAGAAGAATCACCACGGTCAATAGATAAGACAAGGAGAGGGAGAGCAGTAGAGCAATAAAAAGAGCTGAAGCAAGTGCTTGGGTGGGCATCAGGTAGGACTCCTAGCAGTCCCTGAGCAGATCCTGCTGGTGATTTGGGCTCACATCCCATAGGTGCAAAGACCTGGAATGGCTTGGGGGGAATTGTGAGGTTGATGGAGGACTTGGGATGGAAGTCTGCCGCATGTGGGTCACTTCCAGGCATATTGCAAAAAGCAGGATCCTCAGATGTTTTGAATTCATTTCCCATTTGGATGTCAGGATATTATGAGGACCAAATGGATTATCAGCTGCTGAACATGGTAGTCTGATGCACTACTACATAGAGGCTGCAGAATTTTGTGGGCATTCCTCTTCAACCTAACATACATCTGAGATAAAGGTCTTCTGAAGTTTGGGTGCTCTCCTTTATTATGCCTTGGCCAATTGGAACCCATGTTTTCTGTTCACCGAGTCATTTCACTGAAAACACCTGCTGGTATTTGATGCTCATTGTTCAGGTCTATCTTATTTATAGAAACAGAGATATGGAGATTGTTGCCTGAAGTGAATCTGCACAGTGCCAATGAAAATATTTAAACTTTTTAGAGAGAAATAATATACTAAAAAATCTTACAAACCTCACTGTTTGGGAACAACATGACTGCAGGTCTGAATGATAGTGAAATGAGTAACTTTTCCCTCAGTTGGTTTGTGGTCTATTTGTTAATAAATGATCATAAAGATGAAGCTGTAGATACAGACAGTACCATTCATACTTCAGTCTCAGGGAGATTTAAAGTGTCTGGCTGCTGCAAACCCACGTGAGGGATTGTTGATATATTGCTCATCCATTGTGATGTGTTGCTTGCTGTGAGCAAGCTGAAGGTCACAGCGTCCTCTGGTTTGGGTGTAGCATGGGAAGGTGCTCCATCCTGCGCTCTTTTGGGGAGAAAAATCAACAGACTTCACAAGTGTTTAGTTGTGCTACACAGCACTCCTTGGGGATAAGTGTTGTTCAAGCAATTCCCTTTCACCCAAAATCCTTGTATGCAACTTCTCTGAGCTCTCAACCCCTCTGAGGAGCCCCACATCTGAGGGCATTTGGGGCAGTTTTACTTCACTTCTGTGCAGGTTCCCTTGCTGAAATGCACAACCTAATTCAGCATGGCTTTTTATTCTCTTCGTGGGTAGGTATAATAGTGTGCAGAGCAAGAAGACTCAGCCTGCACAGGCACAGCAATATTGCCTGTGGCTCCTTGCAATGGAGAGGGTTTGCCTTCCCTGCCACACAGTTAGAGGATGGTGAGTGCTGTACAAAGACTGAACCTTGCAGCTGAACGGTTCCTAGAAGGGCCCTGTGGTGGCTCCACACTCAGGAGGCTCCATCTTCACATCACCTGGAAGGATGTTTGACCATGCATCCCACTGCTTCTTTCTCCTTTTAGAAGTTCAGCCGTGGAATTTCTGAGTGTCCTGGGTTTGGCCAGGGTAAGGTTCATGTTCATGTTCACAATTGGCTGCAGCTGGGTGGGGCCACAGCTGGGATAAACAACCCAACCAGCCCATGGGATAGGCAATACCATGCTGGTGTCATGCCCTATATATAAGGGACTGGTTTCAGCTGGTGGTTGCAATGTGTGGCCGGAGCAGGGAGGTCTGTGTCTGGGATAAGGGGTTTGTTGTAATTTGCTTTATATACAATTTCACTGCTATTGTTTTTGGCTCTTCTCTGTTTTGTGTTGCTCTACTAAACTGTCCTTGTCTCAACCCACAGGCTTTTGTTTTTTTTTTTTTCTCCCTGATTCTTCACTCTAACACATGGTGGAGGCTGGGGGGGAGCAGCGGCTAGCAGTGGCTGGTGCTTAGTTGCCAGCTGAGGTTAAATCAGAATGCTGGATGAACCTGATCCCCCCCACTGACATCAGCTAATGCAGTATGTGGTCTCTGTCATGGGCATCATCCCCTAGCTCTCAGGTATTTTACAAATACTAGGCATGATGTATTTGAAGTAGCAGTTTCTAACAGTGACCTCCATCTCCAGCTATGACAGTGTTCCCAGATCTCCTAATTCACTTCTGGGTTTGCACCCTGAAGTTCACAGCCTGGACATGTCCACATAAGATAGGATGAGAATGCTGAGGTTGAGATGCCTGCCGTTGTGGGTACCCAGGACACAAATGGCACTGGGCACATCAGCTTGCTAACAGCCAGCTCCTACCGTGGGCATCCAGATGCCTGTGAAAGTTTGGGCTGAAGAGAGGTCTGTCCAGAGCTTCTGCATGCTGGTAGTAGAAGACTGCTCTAGAAACATACTTTTCTCTTGAAAGACATCAACTCTATGACCTACTCTTAGCCTGTTCCTGGGAAGCAAATGCTCTTCTGCTAATCTGCCAACACTGCCTATAACATTAATTTTTTTTTTCATCATTTCCCTAGAACTAGTGATTGTGTAAGTCCCTCAGCTGGGATAAGGTGACCCAGTCAACACTACACCTGTCTGCATGGCACTACGCTTTCATTAGCATAGCAGAAGATGGGCTGGAAAAAGCCAGTTAGAAAACCTCCTGTACCTCCTTAGTCTTGGGTGCTTTGGCTGCTTGAGCCAAATTCTAGCACATTTCTTCACTTCCCCAGTGTGACTGGTTCCTGATGTCTCTGATTCTTCAGACTGGGAAGAAGGCCCATAAAATCATAAATGGTTTCAGGCTGTAAGGGCCCTTTAAAGGTTGTCTAGTCCAACCTCCCTGCAGTGAACTGGGACATCTTCAAAGAGAGCAGGTTGCTCAGAGCCCCTCCAGCCTCAAGTGGAATGTTTCCAGGGGTGGAGCATCTGCTGCCTCTCTGGGCAACCTGGGCCAATGTCTCACAACCTTCACTGTAAAAATGCCTTCCTTCTATCTAGTCTAAATCTCCCTCCTTTAGTTTAAAACCATGAACCCTTGTCCTGTTGCAACAGGCCTTGCTAAAAGGACTGTCCCCACCTTTCTTGTAGGTCCTCTTCAAGTACTGAAAGTCCACAGTAAGGTCTCCCTGGAGCCTTCCTTTCTTGAGGCTGAACAAGCCCAGCACTCTCACCCTGTCTTCATAGGAGAAGGAGGGAGGAGTTGTAGTCTCTGGCTGGTGTTTGTC